GTCGATTCCTGTACGTTTCGAATCTTTTCACGAACTTTTCTTTCGCCGAAAAATTCACCCCTGGTCCTCCTGAGGAAGAGATCAAAAAAATAAAGTCAGTCAAAAAGTCACTTGGACAACGGAAATCGAGTTCTGAGCTTCTAAAATGTTAGTAGAACATAAAATGGCAAATGAATAAACAATAAAAACGGAGTTTTGGCTGATTTCATTTTTTCACCTATCCCTCATGGGGACCAGGGGTGAATTTTTCGACGAAAAAAAAGTTCGTGAAAAGATTCGAAACATATATGGTTCGACTCAATTTTCGATGCGGATTCCGAATATGTAAAAAAATCAACAGACTGTTATGGCAGTTTTCAGAAATCCAGCATGGTTTTTCAGAAATTCTCTAAAACACGGATCTTCGAATTTTTTCTCAGCATAGATTTTGCTTATGAAAATATGCTCCTAGATCTTGGCTATCCAACACTGAAAACCGCAAGTCTCTATCTTGTTCCTATCAAAAGTTATTCAAAAAACATCCGACTGCCTTGAATTCTGGCGCCGATAGTAGTTTCATTTGAGTTTCTGATACCTATTCTTGAAACTCAAGCCAGTCCGATTTTGAGTTTTAGTCATCTCGATTTCGTTTGATTACAATCAAACTATTCCAAGACAATCCTTTCTCCATTATTGATAGATCTCTTCGCATTTTCTTGACCAATAAATAATCAAGAAATAGTCTAGAAAAAAAGCCGTATGGCAATATATAAGTTTAATGTGTTCAATTGAGTAGTTTATATGTAGCTGCATAGACAAAACAAAACAGTGAATAAACAGTTAGTAGACAGGCAACAACACGATTGTGGTTAAGTTTGTGACATTATAATTAGTGACACGTCTTATTTTAGTGTACAACAGCAACACTTCCATCGAATATTCAATAAGCAAAGAAAGAAAAGAAAATTTCTTTAATGCAATTTCTCTTGAAATAGATTAATGATAAGTTTAAAAGAAAAATGTGAAAGACACTCATATAAATCTATAAAATGTATTACTGTTCATAAATATACTTGGATGATTTATAATAATAAATCATTGAAAGATTCAACTTTAGTTACGTAAACGAACCATGTTATAGTTTCCAATGTCCTAAAGATTAAATAAAAAAAACAAAATCAACTGATTTTTAAACATTATTCAAAATGAAACATACAATAAGAAAAATAGCAGCAAGTACAAGAATTTTCATTTTAGTATCAAGATTCAATGGAACTAATAAAAAAATACAAAAATAAATCTATGATGGCAATCTTGTTTTTTTTCTGCTAGATCAATAAAAGAAATTATTTTTCTACTTACAATTCACTGTAAAAGCAACAGGATTTGCTGACGAGACTTGCATACTCTCAAGATATTTCTTATTAATAGCCCCAATCTCTGTTGTTCGATCAGTACCCAACAACTACAAAATAAATATACACGAAAAAAAAATTAATTCCTCGATTATCAATTCAGAGATGTGCAGTGTTGATGAAAACACTGAAAAACTGACACACCGCCAACGTTAAAGTATTCAACTATCAACGAAAAAAATGAATGAGCACATCCGTGAATTAGGACAACCTATAATTTAAAATGATGAGAGCGGCATCAAAGAAATGCATGGCAACTTCTTCTCGTATTAATACATAAGTGCTGTCTTTCTATGTTGATATCTGCTAGTAAAGCTTCATTTTCTTTTGCTATCTGCACACATTATGTACGACTACTCTTTATGCTGAAATGTTCAACGAAGATAAAATACTATTATAAATCTTTAAATAATAAACAAAAAATTGAATCAAGAAAGTAGTTAGAAGCGAAAAGAAAAGATAAAAAGCCAAAGAATAGAATATAATAGATAGAAAACGACTTATATTATGTAGTAATAGCCAAAGAATACCTTACTCTTTCGCTAACAGAGATCAACATTGAACAGAGTCAATTGTGAAAGAAAGAAACATCTGATAAACTATTCAGCTCATATGCTCTCATCCAATGAAAACGCACTACTTACGGTGATACTTCATTCAAAAGATATCATGTTGCTCCCTGTATAAATTATAGTCAATGAAAGTAAGCATCAGTGTGCCTGATGGTGTCAATGCTACCACAGTTTCAGTGAGTACTAACCCCGAAGTCATCGGTATTCACTCAGCGTCCACGTCAGTGACGTCGGTGATCAATAAACTGAAACTGCATATCTCTAGATAAATTCATAAATTGTTTTCTTCAATTCAAATATCTAATAAAAAAGAATCTTCATTTTGATTAATTTTTATCTTTTCAAAAAATTAATTATCTATCGAATTTTTTTCAATAGAAATATTTTAAATGAAGTCACTTACTGTATATTTACTTTCACAACCACAAGAATAAGCCCCGTTACAAATGCAACATGGACCCATGATAGTTAGCATCGGTATATTGTTTACATCTTTAATAACATAATGCATACCAGAAAAACTACCTCTAAATGAGAACAAAGTCGATGCTAGAACTAGAGTTGTCGTTTTAATAATGTCAGTACTCTTGTTGAACAATGCCGATAATTTGTCCTGGTGGACACTCAACGGTAACTTGTTGCATACAACCTTCACAACTACCACAGCAACAACATCCTGAACAACTTTGTAATTCACGATGAACTCGAATAAGTTCCTAAAAGTAAAATAAATATATTTTTAAAATACAAAAGAAAAATTATTTATAATTTCGACTTGCTCGACTATTATTGTCAAGAACATGCATAGTAAATTCTCGCTCATTTGTACAACAAATACGTTGAAATAAATCCGATTCTTTTTTTAACATAAAATGAATAAATATTATTCAATGTATGATCTATTTAATGTACCTTCAAATGCAGAAAATATATGTTCACCTCGATTGTTAAATATTCCATATTTTGGTCGCATTGGAAGGTTAGTCAATACTAAAAAACAGAAAAGAATATTTTCTAAGATATTTAACAAAAAAACAAAAAAAAATCATAAATTCAGTCATAGTTCTACTTGTAACCTGTTTTCAAAGAAAATCCATGATTAATCGATAATGAATCGACTGATTTGAAATGTTCAATAGCATCAACATCAGCTCTTGCTATTGATGTCCACGATATTGGCTGTTGCATTATTCGAAACAGTATTTTCTTTTTTATGAAACTATCTTAAATAGAAATCGTATCATCATGTTTAATAATAAATTTATTCTTCTATTATTTTGCTTTATTTTAAAGAAAAATATTTAACTTATCAATATGAATTCATAGAATTTAATTAATAATTATAATCGACATGCAGATCGACTCATTTATTGGATTTTTTTTTCTATCCTATTAGTTAGATTAATAATTATAAAAGCATATTGTATATGCAGTTCGTTTTCGTTATTGTTAATTATTCATGTTCTAACAATAAGGTCGTAGATCTAAAAAGAGAAAATAGAATCAAATTGTGATAGAATGAGCTCAAAAGAACGTATGTTGTCGGGTCACTCGTCTCTAGAAAAAACCTTCTGATTCATAACCATTATCAAAAATAAC